TTTACCAATATTACTGTTGATCAATCTGATGATACTTAAGACATTTATTTTAAAAATAATAGGGTGTAAAATATTTTATGTGTGTTGGGATACACAGAATAAGACAGATACAGTCTCTGTTCTCAAGGAACTCACTGCTCATGTATACCTCTGCATTTATTCATACCATTCCCTCTGCCTGGCCTTCTCTCCATGTATTCCAGGGTTTCTCAACTTGGACACTATTGGGGAATTTTAGGCTGGATAATGCCTTGTTGTGGGAAACTTTCCTGTGCATTATAGGACTTTAAGCAGCATCACTGGCTTCTACCCTCTAAATGCTACCCCTCATCCCTGGTTGTGACATCCAAAAATGTTTCTAGACATTGCCAAATGTCCCCTGGGGGCCAATGGAACCACTGATCCATTTTGAGTTTATTCAACTTTCGTGACCTCATTGAAATCCCACCTCTTCCATGAAGCTTGCTTTGGTTAATTCTGATCATGCTAATTTCTCCTCTATTTGTTTTCCTGTGCAAATTATTGCTGCTGCTTTCCAACTTACCATGTAATAATCCACTTCCTTCTTTTGATCACAGTTTGGAAGGAAACAGCCTCGAGAATGGTTCTGGAGATGTGGATTTTATTCAGGAACCATTGCAAATCTGTTATATCTCCTAGAATAAGTGGCTTCCATTCTGCCATGAAGACCCCAGTTTTCTCAGCTGTCAAATCAATTGCAGTGCTATTCAGAAATGTTCAGCCACAAATCATCAAAGATATGGAGGGGCCAACTGCACAGGGTTCTTAAAATGAAGCAGATTTTATGTTTTATACATTGAGTCTCTGTATGGTGTTGGGATGGTATCATGGCTGACACATGTCCAAAACCACTAAATCATCTTAAAGGCTTTTCTAACATTTGATCATGATCATGAGATTTCATTTGTATTAAATTCTGTCTCTTAATTAGGGTGTGAATGCCTTCAGTGCCTGCTACCTTAGTGATTTCCATAGTGCCACCTAGCTAAGTGCTGGTTTCACAAGAAGTTCAATATTTGCTGTTTGATCATGTTTTTAATCCTAAAGCCGAAGATGATTTTGCTCTGATGCTGGGTCCTGACATTAGGAATCTCCCTGCATCAATCAGGAGTGCTTTTATTTGCAAATTATAGAAAGCCTACCCACAGTAGCTTTAAACCAGAGTGTTTTTTTTCTCACATAAGAGAAAAGCAATGTTAGTACCTTTGAGATTTTCTGGGCCTTTCCCTCCTGCATGTTTCCTCATAGTCATGAAAAGGCTGCTTCAACTCTAAGGGACATATCTGCATCAAGTCTAGAATCAATACCAGGATCAGTGCCAGCCCATCTGTCTCTTATCAGCAAAGCTAAAGCTTTCCCAGAACCCTCCCACCAAACTTCTGATTACATCTCATTGGCCAGAACTGTATCACATGACCACTCTATGATACCAGGATATTGGAAGAGTGAATATTTAGCTACTGCAGACTTTCTAATTGAAAAAAGTAAAGGGAAAAAAGGTAGAGGATGGCTGCTATGCTGCTATAGCATCAGGGTCTGCTATCACCCCATTCAAAAACTCCAGCACCTATAGCCCTGAAAGGCAGGCAGCCAGAGGACCACATCATAGGGCGCTGCACCTTGACTGGAGTTTCTGTCTCAGCAGTGCAGCCTTGATCCCCTGAACTCACCCACTGCCCTGGCATGGCTCCAGGTGGTTCTCTGAGAGCAGGGACAATGGTTCAGTGCTCCTAGAGTAGGGGTTAATCCATCTGTGGTTTAGGTTTCTCTTTTCTCTTGGCAGAGTTTGCAGTTGGAATCAAAGGCTCCCCAACAAGGAAACAACTAAGTAAGTTAAACAATACTTACTGCTCTTGAAACCCCATGGGTTTAACTGGGATTAGAAGTACCAATTTGAGCATTAGCCCAATAAATTCTTTGATCCTTTATGCTGGCTGAAGCAAGGGAAGGAAATCAACAAAAAGAATATTTTTCTTCTGTTCTTACTCTCTACTGACCCCTGAAACAGCCCCCTCAAATGATCATACACATCGCTTTCTGATTCATTTTTCTGTTTCTGTCCCTCTATTCCTAAAAAATTCTGATCCTCATTTCTATCCAAAGTCCGTATCAGACTTCTTCTAATAGAGGCAGACTAGCTAACATAGACCAACCTTCCCTCCGAAAACAACTACCAAATTCGGAGAAAACAGTAAAAAATTTCTCCCTAAAATATGAAAAACTAATAAGATAGTCAGGAAGCAACCAAGATCTAGAAGAAGATGAAGCTCTAGAGAGGCAAGCTTAGCATTTAGGGCTACTTTTGCCCAGGGAGCATTTGCTCATCTAAAAGGAAGACTGAGACATGAGCCATGTTTTTGAAAACTGTGGGTGGCTAGGTGCCCATAAGTTCGAATCTACTGCTTAATTTCTTTTCCTGAGTGGAGGTCCTGGTAAACTACTTGGCATTCAGAGTTGTGGCCTGAAAGGGCTGCTCTGTCAAACTGGAATTAAACTTCACATGAAGTCTAGCCTAGCTTAGTCATCTGGGTGGCTCTAGAAAATTTGAAGCTTTGACTTTGAATTGAAGCAATCTTGGTTAGATTGCTAGTGCCCCTGGATGCCTGGCATAGAAACTGAAAATCATGTCCAGAAGAAGATATCATCCTAAGTCTCATATTATTTCTATAAATACTTTGTCAAACATAATGTTCAACACACAGTAATAACTAACCAAGCAAATGAGAAATGAAGACAACATTCAAAGATTAGCACAAACAGGAAGTGACAGAAAGATATTCATGGTCATTCTTGACAGTGGGATTACTATGCACAGCAACATTATAATATCCTAAAGCAACACAATATACTCAAGAAAATAAAAGCCAAACTTGAAATTTGTTTGCAGGGATTGAAAGTTATAAAAAGTAATTGTCCACATTTGATAGAGAACCTCCAGAAACTCTCTAATTAAAAATATAATAAACAAAATCAAGATCTCAATGGATGTATTTAGTAGCAAATAAATACAGTTAATGAAAGAACTAGGAGAAAGGTCAAAAGCAACTATCCAGACTTAGCTCAGAAAAAAGCATGAAAATTTAGAAGAGTCAGAGACATATGCAGTTTAATCAGACTGTAAACTAAATGTGTACATATCCAAATGGAGTTCCCAAAGGAGAGAAGAGAGAGAACATTTGAAAAAATAGTCGTTGAGAATTTCCCCAAACAGATAAAAATCCTATGACTCTTAAGCAGCATAAATAAAAGGTACTCATACCTAGACATATGGCAGTCCAATTTCAGAAAACCAAAATCAAAGGGAAAAATTTTAAAAGCAGACAAGTGACACAGACAGAAGCAAGAGTTAGAATGGTGGTAAACCAGGTGTGGCGACTGCCTGTATTCCTAACTACTGAAGGGGCTGAGGAGGGTGGGAGCATTGCTTGAGGCCAGGAGTTTGAGGCTGCAATGAGCTATGATTACACCTGTGACTAGCCATGTCTCTACAACCTGAGCAACACAGTGAGACCCTCATCTTCAAGAATGAAAAGAATGACAGCAAACTTCTCAAAAATGATAATGGAAATAAGAAGAGATAGAACGATATTTTCCATTTGGTAAATCTAGAATTCTACACCTAGTAAAAATATTCTTCAGTAATGACGGTAAAATAAAGTCAGTGAAATAAAAACTTAAGGGAACTGCCACTAAGAGACCTGCACTAAAGGAAATCCTGACAGATATTCTTTGGGTAAAGAGAAAATGATCCCAGATGGAAGCTTGAAGATGAAGAAGGAAAAACTGAAGAAAATGGAAACAATGCAGGTAATTATAAAAGAATACTGACTATACATAATGAAAATAATAATGGCTAGTGAGGTTTAAAATACATACTCAAGAGACATAACAATAGCAAGTCAGATGTAGGGGTAAATGGAGTTGAAGTGTTCTAAGCTTCTTGCATTGTCTTGGAGGAGGGAAAAGTAAGAGTTAACATTAATGTTTAATAAATCGGTGCTGTATGTTGTAATTTCAAGAGTGGCCACTAATAGCATAATAAAAGTGTGAAAAATCCTCCCATCAAGCCCACCTTCAGTGGCATATGTAGTGCCACCACCGGTTATATCTTTGACTTTCACAGCTCCTCTTCACAGCATCTCTGCTATTTGCTACAGCTATTAGATCTAGTCACTGCCCCCAACTATGTATTGTTCCAGCCTCTGTTCATTTATTAATCTATTCTCTTCTCCTAGGAGGGTTTCTTCTTACATCTGTTCACATCCTTTTCTCTTCAGGCATCAGGCAATTTCTGCCTCTGCCCCAATCATGTTTCCCCTAACTACTCTGACACCCACAATTCCTCTGTCCACCAAACTCCTAGATCCTTAATGGAATGACTCATTCAAGATTGGATTTTTTATACACTTATTACATTGTGGCTATTTGGAGAATATGTTTTATTTTTCCTAAAATAGAGGTTCCTGGAGGATAAGGATCATGTCTTTAATAACTTTTGTATCTCCTATGTGTCTATCACTATGCCTTGCCAAGGAGACACTTTGTTTTATTTGTACTCTTTTAAAATAATTTTTACAGAAATAGGTAACCATGGAAAGCTATTTAATATCTGTGAGTCATTTTGCAGCGGTTAAAATGATTAAAACAATACCTACTCTAATTCATAAGGTTGATGATAAGTTGAAATGGGCTAATAGATATGAAATAATTTGTATTATATAACGTACTATAAAGAATTGCTAGCAGTGGCTGGGAGTGGTGGCTCATGCCTGTAATCCCAGCACTTTGGGATCCCAGCCAAGGTGGGTGGATCACCTGAGGTCAGGAGTTTGAGGTCATGTAGCCTGGCCAACATGGTAAAACCCCATCTCTACTAAAAATACAAAAATTTAGCTGGGTGTAGTGGCAGGCGCCCATAATCCCAGCTACTCAGAGGCTGAGGCAGGAGAACTGCTTGAACACAGGAGGCAGAGGTTGCAGTGAGCTGAGACTGACCCATTGCACTCCAGCTTGGGTGACAAGAGTGAAACTCCATCTCAAAAAAAAAAAAATTACTAACAGCAATAAGCATTGATGATCAAGCTTGGGATAACATGAAGAGCATTAAACTATAAATGATCAGAGAGCAAAAACAATCAGAAAGCCATTATCTAAGCCCTCAGTTGACAAAAGGATTCAAGTCATCCATTCATTCATTCATGCATTGATGTTTACTGAGGACATACTGTAGTGGCTAACATTGTGTCAGACACTGAATGTACAGAAGTACAAGTTTCTGCTCACACCTCGCTCAGTCTGGTGGGTGACCTTAAGGTGGTAAATGGATATAACAGATTCATAAGGTGCTACAAGAATACAAAAGGGAGACACCTGACCTAGGAAGGGAGGTGTGAGGTGGCCTTCCTGGAAGAGGTAGTCAAAAAACAAGTCTTGAAGGACAAATAGGAGATAGTAATGGAAGAAAAAGGCTATGTCAGGAAGAAGGAGAGGCATCTGTAAAGGCTGGGTTTCAAAGAGCAAATCGCTTTAGAGAAAGTTTTAGCAGTTTTATGTAGATGAGGAAGACTGTTGCCTTAAGAAACTGGACAGTTACATGAGGACCAGATTAGCGAGGGCCTTGTATGGCCTCATGAGCCACATTAAAATGTATGAGCTCTCTTTTCTGCAAGGGACTTGCCAGATCATTTAGTCGTTTGTTCTCAAACTAGAGCATGAATCAGAAACACTTGGAGGGCTGTTGAAAGACTGGGCTTTCTGCTGAGTTTCTGATTTAGTAGATCTAGGACTGGCCAATAGTTTTTATTTCTAAGCAGTTCCCAGGGATGCCGATGTTGCTGGTCCGGGGACCACTTTGAGAATCACTGCTGTAGAACAGCCTTTTCTTTCAGATAAACCACTGGGATCTACAGGTGAAATTCATTAACCAAAGTCATCAGTTGAAATAGGGCAAACGTGCCAAGCAACCAGAGCTGACACCAGCTTCCTCCCCGCCCCTCACAGTGGAGCTGTTCCTTCTAGGACCATCAACAGCTTTACCTCTCTCTTCCTCCTTCCCCCCTCAAGAATTCCACCCTTTCAGTGCTCTGCTTTCAGCGTCTGTAAGGGAAGGAAATCGGTTGCTCCAACTTATATTAGGATTTACTTTTAAAGAGGATCCTTGAAAAGGACAGCGTTTTAACCTAAGGGAGTGCATTTTCGGGCAGGGAGCGAAGCAGGCATTTCCCGACATGCCCGTGGGCAAGACCTGATCACTGCCCAGAAACCCTGCTTTGCAGACGGTGACCACCCCGGCCCGGGAGAACGGGGCCCAAGCTGCGAGCCGCCGCCGTGACTCGGTCATAAGACCCGCCAGACAGGTGAGGTTTCCGGTCCCAGGCCGCCCCTTCCGCCCCGCGCAGCTTCCGGACCTCGCCCCGCTGCTGGGCTTCGCGCTGCAAAGCGTGGGCCCAAATACTGCGGCTCTTGAGTCATAGCTTCATAAGTGACTTTCCTGAGAAGGCTAGGGCTGGGGATCATGATAGCAAGAAACCCAGCTTCCGGAGCCCAGTGCGTTGCCCTTCTCCTTCCCCCATTTCCTCCCACCCAGGCAAGATTGTCCGGCAAACCCTTCCCGTCTGCCTGCAACCCAACAGTTCCGCCCTCCTGAGGGTTCTCAACCTCAGGGTCTTTCAACCTTCGGAACAAATACAGCGTTCTACCTAGGAGGTGTTTCTTAAGGTTGTTGAATTCTCTGAGTCTTGAAGCTTGTAGGGCATCCCCTGTATCTGTCTTGTTCTCTGCAGTTTAAGACTGGCTTAATAATAGCAACTAATTTTATTATTATTAACAGCTGCCTGTACAATGTTATGCCCTGTCTCTTTAATTCAGTGTATTGATCATGGGTCTTCCATTTACATTGTCCTTTATTAGGCATGTGGGGCATTCAAACATGGACAGCACACACTTTCTGCACTACAGGAACTTTAAAAGATAATGTTGGGAAAATAAATACCACAGGAAGAGTTAAAACACCATTCTCCAGCATTTTAGGTAGGAATGATACAGACTGAACACATGTTACCATGTGGAAACAGAAGAAGAAAGTCACCTGAGTGGTCAGGGAGGCTTCAGAGAGTGGGTAGAGCTTGAAGTGTACTTTGGTGGGCTAGGTAGCCATTAGCTGGGTGGACAGGAGAAGAGGGGCCATTCCAGATTGGAAGTGGAGTGAAGGGGAAGTGAGGTGAGGAATGACATGACCAAGGTTGGGGTGGGAAAACTCACATAGGTGGGAAGTGTATGTTGACATGTAAACGCTTATCTCCAGAGATGCAGTCCTATCTTTGATTTTGCATCACCAGCAGCCTTAGTAATGCAACAAGATGTGACACTCCTCTCCCTATCTGGCTCCACCTGAGACCTAAGACAAAGAGGAGTAACACAATCCTGTGGGCTCTGGCTTCCATGCCTCCCTCAAAGCCACTGGGAAATGGCACATACCCTTGGCAGGCACATGAGGTCCAAACAGAGAAGCAGGAAGCTATGTGGGTTTTATGGACAGCCACATAATAGAAGAATGATGTTTGGCTGGGCGCGGTGGCTCAAGCCTGTAATCCCAGCACTTTGGGAGGCCGAGGCGGGTGAATCATGAGGTCAAGAGATCGAGACTATCCTGGTCAACATGGTGAAACCCCGTCTCTACTAAAAATACAAAAAAATTAGCTGGGCGTGGTGGCTCATGCCTGTAATCCCAGCTACTTGGGAGGCTGAGGCAGGAGAATTGCCTGAACCCAGGAGGCGGAGGTAGCAGTGAGCCGAGATTGTGCCATTGCACTCCAGCCTGGGTGACAAGAGCGAAACTTTGTCTCAAAAAAAAAAAAAAAAAAAAAAAAAAAAGAATGATGTTTGTCTTCTAGGGTGATGTTTATGATTAAGAAGACCTGTTTAAACATGGTTAGTGGCTTATTCAAACCCCATTTAGGGAGAGCTAAAGGAAACCTTAGTTTCTATGGTTTCTTAGTTAATAATCACAGCAGGGCTGGAAGAGGGCAGATTGTGATAAGCAGAGTGGAAGAGAGAGGATTCCCAGGGGAAGACTAAAGTTGGTAAGACACTCTGAACAATACTTCATATACTAAGGCTTTATTTATTCTAGCAGATCTTTTCTCCTTGAAAATATAATAAAATCTGTAATATCACTTCAAAGGAAAGGAAACATTAAATCATTTTAGATTCAGAAGCTAACAAGTTTTAATGAGGACTTACAACAGGGAGCGGGAGTGGGAGTGGGCACCTTCTCACATCTGGTGTAAAATCGATCATCTTTTTCTGGTTTGTATAGAAGGCTATGAATAGAAGATGGAGAAGAACCACCAGGAGACTGCCTCAGGCCCTTTCCTCCTAAGTCTCTACACAAATGCTGCATTGATTTCTCTCCTTCTAGTCTTTGCCTTGGATTCTTTAGGGCTACTAAATTCCTCCTTCAAGGTGGGATGTGATGGCTCACACCTGTAACCCCAGCACATTGGGAGGCTGAGACAGGCAAATCATTTCAGGTCAGGAGTTCGAGCCCAGCCTGGCCAACATGGTGAAACCCTGTCTCTACTAAAAATACAAAAAAATTAGCAGGGCTGGGTGGTACATGCCTGTAATATCAGCTGAGGCTGAGGCAGGAGAATTGCTTGCAGGAGGCTGAGGTTGCAGTGAGCTGAGATCAAGCCACTGCACTCCAGCCTGGGCGATAGAGTGAGACCCTATTTAAAAAAAAATTCTTCCTTTAAAATGAAATACACTTTAATGGGAGGAGATGAAGGATAACAGAAGGATAAAGAAGGTGGAAGATCCACCTGGCAAACATGATGAAACTCTGTCACTGCTAACAATACAAAAATTAAGCTGGTGTAGTGGCACACACCTGTAATCCCAGCTACACTGGAGGCTGAGGTGGAAGGATTGCTTGAACCCAGGAGTTGGAGGTTGCAGTGAGCTGAGATTATGCCATTGCACTCTAGCCTGGGCAACAAGAGTGAAACTCCATGTTCAAAAAAAAAAAACAAAAAAAAAAGAAAGAAAAAGGAAGAAGAAGGGAGGGATAAGACTTGAAGGATTCTAAGCATAAGGACACCTTGAGGGAAGAAGATCTGAGAGGGGATCTTCAGAGGACCTTGTAGAGAACTGGATTGTTGGGAAAAATCATCAACAAAGAACTGGGAATGCACTCGGACAGACTTTGCCTGATGTGTGGTCAGTGTTAATACAAAAATTGTGTTAAATGCCAACTATGAGAAAATTGCTTCAGAACTCACGAGGGTTTTTCAGATTTCTCTTGACACCTGCAAAACTAATCAAAAACTTAATTACTTGAATCAATAAGTCCATTGTGTTGTGTCTAATGATTTTGGAGGTCAGAAATGAGGGGGGGACTCTGCTAGAAGATTCTGCTATTCTATGTGGAGGCTATAAAGGTCACCCAATGGTTCTCTGCTACCATTTAAGAGGAAGAAATGGAAAAAGTCAACTAATCAACATTCTTTGAGCACCTACTTAGCATGGCACAGGCTCTGTTGTCAGAATGGAGCAGTCTCTTCCAACCTGCATGTCCTTGCAAGAGTCACTTAACCTCTCTAAGTGTTCAGTTTTGTAGAGAAACTTCCTCATGGTATTATTATGAAGTTCAAATGAGATTATATATATATATATATATGTGTGTGTGTGTGTGTGTGTGTGTATATGTATATATACATATATATGTAAAAGTTAGTGCTGTTGTTTTTGTTTCTTTGGGAAAGTTATCTTGCTTATGTGTGGAGGCACAAAGATAAAGTAGATGTGATTTCTATTATTAAGCAGCTTAGAGAGACAAGCCCTACACCACAGATGGATAAGATGGCAATGCACAGTAGCTGTGACAAGTGCTGGCTTAACATGGGAGATTAGTGGGAGGGAAATGACTGTGATCCTACAGGACTTCATGGAAGGTGAACGTGTTTCAGATGAATGAGTAGAAGAAGGGCATTCCAGGCTATAGGGGAAGCAGAGATAAAGGGGAAAGCTGAAGGGATGTAGCAGTTGTATCATGTAAGGTTCTTGTGGGGAGGTGGGGTTAGCTAAGTCTGGAAAGCAAGTGGGATGGACTGGAAGGTCTGAAATTCCATCAAAAGCCATTTATCCTGTTTCAAGTTGTTTTTCATAAACTTCTATTGAAATATTCTAAATAGGAGCTTGCTGGAGTCCAAAGCCATACCACAAGCAAGACATCCCATGGAAGTCTCATATTTTATCTTAGAAGTTCCTGTAGTTTTTGTGTTTTGCTCAGCAGTGTCTTCAGATTTACTTTTTCATATGAAAATGATCTTTTAAATTACTTATATTGAGTGAAAGGGAAGGACCCAGTGTTGTATTCTATAGCTTCCCTTCTTCCAGGTGCATGGTCTCATGCTGCTGTGGGGGAGACCCCGGTGTGAGACATAAGACCATGTAGGGTCTGGGTGACTACAGACTGGAATGAAAGCAATGTTCATAAATAGTCTATCTATTGTGGGGGTGGGGGTGGGGGTGGCGTGGAGACTAGTGGAGTTGCTAGAGGAGGGCGCCTGAGAGTCTGAAATGAAGGGCTCACTAGAAGTGGTGAGAGGACATGTTAATGTCTACGGATCCAAGTTGACATCCGGAGGCAGTCACTTACTGGCTGTATGGCATGGTGAAGGTGTAATGTTTCTCAACCTCAGAGCCCTTACTCACTGGTACAGCCAAACTTTATAATAATGTCTTTCTTGAGGGGTTGGTGGGATTTGATTATAGGACATTCATATGGTTTGGCTGTGTCGCCACCCAAATCTCATCTTGAATTGCAGCTCCCCAAATTCACACATGCTGTGGGAGGGACCAGGAGGGAGATAATTGAATCATGGGGCAGTTTCTCCCATACTGTTCTTGAGATAGTGAATAAGTTTCACAAGGTCTGATGGTTTGATAAGGGGTTTCCTCTTTCATTGGTTCTCATTCTCTCTTGCCTGCTGTCATGTAAGACATGCCTTTCAGGCCAGACACAGTGGCTCACACCTGTAATTCCAGCACTTTGGGAGGCTGAGGCAGGTGGATCACCTGAGTGCAAGACCAGACTGGCCAACATGGTGAAACCCTGCCTCTACTAAAAATACAAAAATTAGCCAGGCATGGTGGTAGGCACCTGTAATCCCAGCTATTCAGGAGGCTGAGGCAGGAGAATCGCTTGAACCTGGGAGGTGGAGGTTGGAGTGAGCCTAGATATGGCACTCCAGCATGGGCAACAAGAGTGAAACTCCATCTAAAAAAAAAAAATACATGCCATTCACCTTCCACCACGATTGTGCCATATGGAATTGTGAGTCTGTTAAATCTG